ATCATTGCAGGATGGAACGTCGCTACGCCATGGAGAGCGATTTGCTGACGCTGTACAGCTAGTCCTTTCTAATGCAAAGGTAAGCAGGAAAAGTGTGAGATACACAACTTAGCCTAATATGACGCAGGTAGTTGGATTTGGTGTGAACTGTACGGATCCTACCGCAGTGACTCCCTTGCTTGAATCTGTGCAGTCGTTATTACCTGTAAACGAGGTTTTCGTCTATCCAAACGGTGGAGAGCCTGAGCAGAACGCGTAAGTGTGATTAACCTTTGTATATGGCGACTTTAGATGGCTCAGAATACGAGGAATTGTATAACCTTATAGTTCTGACAATCGACATGATCTTATCGCGTTGCTGACAAAATCTGCGCGTGAACAAATAGCACGCGCGCTTTTTAGTCACTTTTTACGCGCAAGTCACAGATTCGTTGACATCCACAAGCATTACATTCTTCCCGCGCAATTGTTGTTATCACCGCAGAGTACTCTTACCCAACAAATTCTTGTACAACACTAGTTCGTCCCTTCCCACTTCTACAAACCACTTCCTTACCGACTATGTTTTCGTACTCAGCATTTCACCCCCTTACCTCCCTCCTCGATCGTCCCAATTTCCATCTCCGTAGCTTGAAAAATAAAACCGATGAGAATATTCGTATATTTCGAACGTAATCAGCATGCTCATTTCCCTGAGCAAATCCCAGCCCCGCAGCGCGAAGTTCGCAGAAAGTCGATAAAATCGATACCAATCGATAACGGAATGAACCTACTACACCCGCCCCACTCTATACATACAAACCGGCAGAGATACATACAGATATTCGGGTTAATTACAGGAATACAGAGAATGGTTTGGATGTGATTTTGATGTCAATTGAAAATTGGATCCAGCTCGGGGCAACCGTTGTTGGAGGTTGCTGTGGAATAGATGCTGACGGAATTTCTCAGATACGAAAGCGAGTTGATTGTCTTCAACAGTCCGTTGTATGACGTTTGCCCTGTTGAGCATGTATTGAATGTTAGAAGTTTTGGGAACGACATTGTGTTGCATGTCAGGTCTAAAATAGTACCATCTCGTCAATTTGAGTTACGCTTCGAACGTTGAGTTGTTTTTATTCAAAATCAAAGTGTAATGGGCGCTCCTATTGCAAGAATATTATGCACGTTTGTTACTTCGTCAAACTCTATCGCGCTGCTTTCAAGTAACTGGCTCTATGTCAATATGCACACTTTCGGTCGCAAACCTTTGATGCCTGAACTACGGCAAAAAACTTGAAAAACAGAATTCATAACTAGACTTTTTCCATGTTCCGTTGAAATGGTGCGTGGATGTATGGCATCTATAAATGAGCTCTCTCGCGGATCTGTCGCAGTTGCCGCGACACCCATAAAACTCTTCGGCAAAATTTCTTGACAGATATTGGGATTTATATGAACTG